TTAGTTTGATTACCCTGTAAGGTTAATTTCCATACTGATTTTACAGAGATGATTTTGACCTTTTTCTTTAATTAAAAGCCTTCTTTTTAAGAACCTGATTGATTTTTCCTTGTTTTTAGATCCAAGGGGGTTGGATCTGTATTCACCAGGAGTTGGTGGGAGAAAGAAGGGGGGATGGTTAATTTCTCCTTGTTTTAAGATCCAAGGGGTTTGGATCTGTATTCACCAGGGAATTGGTGAAGGTCTCTCAAGGCTACCCAGGGAAGGGAATTAGCTTTGGGATGGTGGCAGCGGACCAGACCTAAGCTGGTAGTTAAACTTAGAAGTTTTCATGCAGGCCCCCACATTTGTACCCTAAAGTTCAAAGTGGGGATACAGCCTTGACAGTGCTGTATTCAGTATGCTCAACAGCGGTCAATCTAAATGTAGTGAACAGTGTTTTTTGGGAACGTTCCCGTAGGCTCCTGTTGTTCTAGAAGTTACCAAGCATAGCCCCTGATATAACACTTTTCATACAGCTGTTTGAGAAATGGAATTTTCCTTATAGGGAAAATTTCGACACGTCAAAGTTGCTTTGCATACTAGATCGGAACAAAACATCAAATGTTCACGAAATGAAAAAATTCGGAGAAGTTGTGACTCAGAATTGTCCACATGGAAGATTTTCATTATTTTTGGTTCAATTTTGAAACAAAAAAATGTTGATTTTGAAACATTTTTCGCTTTGCTTGGAAAATCAAACAATTTGGTCAAAACTAACATTTTCCCATGGGAAAATTTCAATTCTGAAGACACCACCTTTTCCATGCAAAAATTTCATATGCAAAATTTTGTCCTACTCTAGTGATAAAATTTGGCTTATCCATGTGGTATAAATAGGACAAGATAGCACTCGGATGAAGGGGTTTCATTTGTGCTGTATTCAGATCCCCTTGTTGGAACATTCCGTTCCATCCACAGTAGCAGGACAGAGAACAGCTTTCATGGATGCAGACTGCTATTAATACTGTTTATTATTTACATTTACAGTTAACACCCAAGAGCCCCAACCAAGATCACAGCCCCAGTGTGCTTAGGGTGACCAAATGTCCTGATTTTATAGGGACAGTCCCAATTTTGGGGTCTCTTTCTTATATAGGCTCCTATTACCCCCCACCCCCATCCCAATTTTTCACATTTGCTGTCTGGTCACCCTAAGTGTGCCAGGGGCTGTACAAACACATATAAGAGTCAGTCCCTGCCCTGAAGAGCTTACAGACTCAAACTGTTCCATTATACAGCATATTTGTGGGGGGAGGTGACAGGAATGGGAGTCAGTGAAGTGACAAATGAGCCTTTTTCAAAGAAAATGTATAGAACATGAATGCTGGTGTTATGGCTTCAGTACAGTCATTAGTCTGGTGTGTTGTTTGGTCAGCATCTCAGCTCACCTTGTATGGACAACATACAAGGACATAAAAAGTCAGCAGCCATCCCATTTTAAAACAAAAACCAGACCACCGTACATTGTTGGTTGTAATATAAACCAAAGAATTCATAATTAAGGCTGCCATTTTTACTTTAATCTGGGAAAGAAAGGGAACTATAGGTAGAGGAGGGTTCTACCCCTAGCTCTGCCGGACTTGCTTTGTGGCCCAAGGGAAGTCAGTTTTTTTAAAAAAAACCTGTGCCTCAGTTTTCCTGATCTTAAAATGGTAGAATGATCCTTACCCATCCTTGCAAAGTACTTTGAAATTTATGGATAAAAAGTGCTATAGAAATGTAAAATGTTAATTAATGAATACATTTGTTTATTTATTGTAATAATTGGGATGGACACATTTTATCAAAGCCAGAGGAAACTCCTTCTCCTACCCTTAGGAATCTGCTTGATTTTGATCTCTTGTGTTCCAGTCCTTGTAATTCCATTTCCCCCTCTAAACGCTCCATCTTTCCAGGCCAGATTACCCTCTTTTTGCAGTATCTCATCAAATCCAAGTCCTACCCAGCCCAAGTGCTAACCATCTTTTCCCTTCCCTAGACCTCTCCCCTCCTCCTGTGTAATATAATAATCCTCAAGTTGAGTTGGCCCCAAATTGAACGTAGTTCTCCAAGGGCTGGATCCTACCAAGTGCTGCGTGAGCAGCTCTTTTGAGATGTGGAGTAACTCCCATTCTCATTGATCTGAATGGGAATTGAGGGTCCTGGGCACATTGTAGGATCGGCCCCCAGATCAGTATATACCATCATGGACCCAAGTGTAAACAGATAAAATTCCCATGACACCTCTGCCTACTCACTCAGCACTGATTTTGCCCATTGTTATATTAGCAGAGGGGGAGGTATGTGTGTGTGTGGTGGTGGTGGTTGTGGGCGGGGGAATTCTATCCTCTTTTATAATATACCCAACCATCTATCTTGCTAAGTGCTGTTGCTTACTGGATAATCATGTTTTCCATGACAACCTCCTAAGTCAGTTTCCTTAGAAAAGTGTTCCAAACCCAGGGCTGTATCTGAGGAGTTTTCACTGTCTTTGCTGATGTGCATTACCCTTGATTTCCATCATGTTTAAACCTGCCTGGAGTTTCTACTGGTGCTAGTGTCACTGGCATATTTCACTATCTGCTGCCCACTTACTCCACTTGATGAATATATTAAGTAATACTTCTTCCAATACAGACCAGTGGTGCCCCCACACTCATTTCGTTCTCCTCTGAGAACAGGCCTTTCCTATGTTTCTGTCACTTAAGCAATTTTTAATCCATGGCAATCTTTATTTTCTGGAATAGCCTCAAAGAGACCCTATTGGGGGATCATAGAAATTAGTGATGGCAGAACACCTATCTAGTTCAGCCATCTGTCAGGACAGAGTTGATTCATACAGTATATTATGTTGCTACGTCCAATCTCGCTTTATTCAGCGGTGTAGTGGTAAAAAAGAGAAGTGAGTGAACTAATCTAACCTAAACTCCATATTCCCCAAATGAAAAGTGGGCAAATGCGAGTTACCCAAGTTTGCCCTTGACTACACTGCTGGTTTTACTATGTCAAGTGAGATTTCACCCCCCTTCGCTCAGGAGACAGTTCTGCAGCCCAACAGACTTCGTTGTCAGGAAACTATTTTTATCCTTCTCTTAGACTAGCTTTTTCTACATTAATTTCTTCTAATTAGAACCCCCCTTGTACCACCCTCAATAATTCTGCTCTATCTTGTCAAAAGCCATTGGAAAAATCCAAGTAAATTATGTCTGCTGGGAAACCTTTATCTCCTGATTTATTCAGCATTTCAAAGAACCCTAACAGGTTAGACAGGCATAATTTTCCCTTCCAGAAGCTGTGCAGGTTTGACCCTATTAGGTTATACTTAGCCAAGTGTTGTACTATTGTAGCCTTAATTAGGCTCTCGTTGAGTCCCCCTGGAAGCAAGGTAAGGGTATATTTATGAATTAATTAAACATGACACATCATTATTCAGATCACATTCAACAGTGTCAAAATCCATCTTTAAACCAGATCAAATTTGCTCTCTAAGAATACATATCCCTCGTGGCCCTATTAACTGTCCGGTAAACCAGCCATTCCCAGCTACACTCCCTGCAGGTGTTGTCTCTCTACTTGGGACAAGCCTTTAAAGTGACAGTTATTTCTAAAACATGCTCTTTATAAAAGATTTCTTTTTAATTTACACAGTAAGTAAATATGAATGGGAAGTCACTTTCAGCAAACAGCATGGTGGGACAGTTGCTCAGCTGGCATAAATGGGGCAGCAACAATTTACTTCAGTGGAGAATCCGGCTCTGTGTTTTTCTGCTACAGATGCAGACTCTTCCTGCTTAGCACTGAATGGCATATTTCCCCAGTCCTCACCGAGGAAAGATTGCTTCCCTCCCCAAGTTACATGGCCACACAAGTTCTGTGACAGTATGTGAGCAAGGAAACACCTACCTCCCCATGCTAGACCTGGCTAAGGGCTACTCAACACAGCAGACCTGGCACTTGCGGATGTTATTGAGTTGCTCTGCCCCGTCCTGGGAGCCACTCACCAGAAAAGTGTGGGGAGTGTCAGAAAGTAGGCGGAGCATGGCTTTCTCCTAAATCTTCCAGTTTAAATTTTCTTTCTGAATCCTAAAGATTTAAAAATAGATGTGTTTGTGCTGCCAGGGCCCCCAAAAGGACCTTGCATGTTTGTTATTTTAAATTCTGCAGGGCCTGATTCTGCCACCCTTACTCAGGTTGAGTAATACCTCAGTCCATGAGAAGCCCCATTGGTTTCAATAGGATGATTTGTGGTGTCAGATACTACCCACTGATGGAAGGCAGTAGAACTGGGATCACACTTTGTTCCCCTGAAGCAGAACGAAAAGAAGTCAGACCCTGTCTACACTACAAATAAAACAATATTAGGGGTAGGGCTGTCAACTAATCACAGTTAACGCAAGCAATTAACACAAAACAAATTAATTATATTAAAAAAACAGTTGCAATTAATCACAATTTTAATCTCACTGCTGAACAATAACAGAATATCAATTTAAATTTATTATAAATATTTTGGATGTTTTTCTACATTTTCAAATATATTGATTTCAGTTACAACACTGAATTCTGAGTAGTAACTGAAAGCAATATACATCTACATGACACAATACAACCAGGATGTACCTGGGCCCTTTATAGGGTTGTATTTGTAGAGTAGATGGATCCTCACAGACTTATTTAAAACTTTCCAAATGCATAGCTTCATAGACTGACCAGTGTCAGGGAAAGTCCCTACTGCTGTGTCTTGGTACCATCTGCTACAGCAGGGGGCAGCTGTAGGCTACAGTGAGAGTCCCATAGCAACCCTGCAGGTAGAGGCTGCTGGGGGATGCACTGGTCCATCCCAGGTCTATGGCCATTCACCCTTTCTAGCAAGTACCATACACATTTTGAACAGCACTGGCTCCTGATAGAGGACCTCCAGTCCTTGTGGACTTTTCCATGGCCCTTCACCAGGGTTTATGTCAACAGAAGCTGAGGAGTAGAGTTGGTCGAGAAATTTATTTGATTTCCTGTAAAAATGAAAAAAAAATTCACTTTCATCAGCACTTTCCGTGAAATTATTGGGGTTTCATTGGAAATGGAAAAAACATTCAGGTTTGTATTTTTGCAGAAAATCGGAAATTTTCATAAGAAAATCTCCCATGTGTTGACAACCTGGTTTTCATCAAAGAGTTTGGCCATGAATTTTTTCCCCAACTGGTTCTACTCAGAAGGGGAGGAAGGGGTTAAGGTTGGGCAAGTGTCAAAAAAAAAAAGAATGACTAAAATGAGAAGCGACACTGTTTCCCTTTTTCCTTTTTGCAAATCTTGTTGGCCTCTGGTTTATTTCACCACAGACTGGGGAACAGCTAGAGATAGAGATAGGCGATCCAGTACACGATGTTGAAGAGCAGGAAGGCGGTGGGGAAGAAAACCCGGGAGTAGGAGTCCAGGCGGGATATGTGAATGCGGATGCGGCCCTCCCGCCACGTCCCTGTCTGACAGTCCTCGATGCAGCAAAAAAACCTCTCACATTCCTTCCCTTCTAGGCAAGGGGCACCCGGCTCCTCCTCCTCCTCTACCTCAGGAGGCCAGTGCATGAGGTTGTTGATGTTGATGGTGGTGAAGGAGGGCATCACATGGGCATTAGCAGGTGGCTAGAACAAGGAGGAGAATGGGTTAGAGAAAAAGTAAAGATGAACCCTCATTTGCCCAGACAACAGACCCTGCAATTGGCAGTCAATCAGTCTCCTGGCATCTCCTGGATGTACTCAGTGCACAGGGATACTAGAGAGCTCTACTTTCCCATCTTCCTGTCTGACTGTAATTCAGTTCCCTGGCATATCCTGGGCACAGGTCTGGGGCGAGAAGACCTGAGAGCGCTAATCCCCCAGCACTGTTTCTGACATTCCATGCCCCACACAGCAGATGGTTTTCTCAGCCTGTCACATCCCTACTGAGCCTGGATGCGGTCTAGGAGTGCAGGATGCTGCCCAGACATGTTCTCTGATTGCCATCACGTTTTCACATTCGCCACGGGAGGAAAGGGTGGGCAGTGCAGTGATTATAACAGCTCACTCTTGGAGAGGAAGTATGTCTTCAGCTCAGCAGCATAGCTCCTCTCCATCAGAGCAGGGCGGGGGCTTGCAGGAGAGATCCAGAATTCAGGTTTTCAGCCTCATGCCACCTAGGAACTTGGGGATAAAGCCCTGTTTAAGGTCAGATATGCAGGACTGGTTGGTGTGTTGACGGCACCCACTGTGATCTTAAGCAAAGCCCACTGAAAGGCATGAGTACAAAGGCTAGATTTAATACGTCCATACTCAACAACTCTCCTTATGTACTCTGAAGGGCACTGCCACTCCCCTGGGCGCCCCTTGCTCCTAGAGTTCTGCCTCTTCAAGCATCCCCCCTTCAGGGGCCCGCCAGCCTCTCTGATGCCTACAGTTTCTAAGCTTGGCCTCTTGCACCATCACACCCCTTTGGTGTGTTACTGCCTGTCTCTCTGCCTTGCCCAGTCTCTGGAGCCCCACTCCCTACCAGTCTATTGCCATGTGTCCCTCCTTTCGGCACTCTCTGGAGCGGCACACCATAACAACATAGCATGAGAACAGGCTTTGCACCATTATGTCTTGTGAATACAATATGCTACTGGCCAGGAGCCAAAGAACACAGCGGTTCTCTGTGCAGACGGGATGCGGTGGCTTCAGGATATAGCAGCGCTAGCTCCCCATCTCTCCCTCCACCTTGTCCCTGCCTACCAGTCTGGGTTTCTTGTTGTTGTGGTCCAGTGGTTTCTTGTTTCCCACCAGGTAGTTGAGCGTGGCATACTCCATGAGAGCGGCAAAGACAAAGATGAAGCACACCGAGACAAAGAGGTCCATGGCAGTGATGTAGGAGACCCTCGGGAGGTGCTTGCGGGAGATGGTACTCAAGGTGGTCATGGTGAGCACTGTGGTGATACCTACAAGGGCACAGAGCACTGTCAGAAGTAGCAAAGCCAAGGAGAGGAGCCAGTTGCTTACGTATAACATTACCAGTCATCCCCTTCCTCCATACGCCATCAGCGCAGGATTCCCCAGCGGCTCCAGCACGCCACTTTCCCTGACTCTCCAAAGGGAGCCAGGACATCCTGACTGGCCGGCGAGGAGGTGAGCGAACTGTTCTATTACTATTTGTGAAGTAACTCCCTGCTCTCCATGTGTCTGTATATAATGCCTGCATCTGTAGCTTTCACTCTATGCATCCGAAGAAGTGAGGTTTTTACTCACGAAAGCTTATGCCCAAATAAATCTGTTAGTCTTTAAGGTGCCACCAGACTCTTTGTTGTTTTTGTTCTATTACTGTATAACAGTTTTGTTGTGGGGCTAGTGGAGGGGCAGGGCAGGGGAGTGTGTTCACCTGAAGTGTAATTCTATTCTGAAAGGGATGCTGCAAAAATGCTCTTGTAGGGTTCTGTGCCTATTGGGATTCCTGTGCCAAATATCATAGAATCATAGAATATCAGGGTTGGAAGGGACCTCAGGAGGTCATCTAGTCCAACCCCCTGCTCAAAGCAGGACCAATCCCCAACTAAATCATCCCAGCCATGGCTTTGTCAAGCCTGACCTTAAAAACCTCTAAGGAAAGAGATTCCACCACCTCCCTAGGTAACCCATTCCAGTGCTTCACCACCCTCCTAGTGAAAAAGTTTTTCCTAATATCCAACCGAAACCTCCCCCACTGCAACTTGAGACCATTACTCCCTGCTCTGTCACCTGGTACCACTGAGAACAGTCTAGATCCATCCTCTTTGGAACCCCCTTTCAGCTAGTTGAAAGCAGCTATCAAATCCCCCCTCATTCTTCTCTCCTGCAGACTAAATAATCCGAGTTCCCTCAGCCTCTCCTCATAAATCAATGTGCTCAGTTTATACATAAAAGGAAGGCATAAGGGATGGGGCCAACTTGATTCAGGGACTTAACAACATTCTAACTTTCTGTCATTAAAAGCTAGAGCCAAGATTTCCAAGGGGATAGACTAATTTGGGGTGCCTCTGGCTTGAGACACCTAGGGCCAGATTTTCCAAAGTGCTGAGCCTCAAATGGGAGCAGCAGTGCTCCACAACTCTCAAGCTCACACTCTAAGTGGCTCACCCAAGACCACCCCACACCAATGGCTCCTTTTCAAAGTTAGGGTTATCATATTCAAACATTTAATAAAGAGGACACTCCACAGGGCCCTGGTCCCGTCCCTGGCCCCATCCCAACCCCGCCCCTTCCCCGCCCCCATTCCAACCCCTTCCCCAAAGTCCCTGCCCCAACTCTGCCCCCTCCTCTGAGCACCCCACATTCCCCCTCCTCCCTCCCACTTTGATCTTGGTTGGGGGTTGCTAAGTGCTTCCCTGCTCCCCACTTGCCCTGCAGCCCCTGCCCCGCCCCCACCCCAGCAGCCTCTGTGCCCCCTGCTCCCCACGTGCCCTGCAGCCCCTGCCCCGCCCCCACCCCAGCAGCCTCTGTGCCCCCTGCTCC